TGTGAAGCTCATGTAGCTGGAAATTTCAACCTGTTATCCTTTTTGGCCGAAAGAGTAACAGGAACAAAAATGCCAATCTCCTTTTAAGCTGTTCAACAAAAACTTTCACTTTGTTGCCGAGCGAACGGAGGAACGATCAACGCCAGAAGTTTCGTTTAGCACAGGCAACAATAACGAAATAATAATAATAAAAAAGAGAAGAGAAAAGTTCTAAAAAGTTGCTGTATTAAGTCCATTTAACCCGCCATTGAACTTTACGCCTCAACAGCCACCTAATGCAACAAAAAAGTGCAAAAAAAAAACAGGCAACACACGAGAGGGCGAGGTGGAAAATCTACCCGAAACCAACAGAAAAACTAGCAAGTTCTTAAAAACTTGCCACAGGCAGCAACAAAGTAAATGAGAGAGAGACAAAAGAGAGAGAGAGAGAGCGGGCGGAAGACAAGCAAATGGACAAGAATGGAAAATGAAATGGAAAACTTTGTGCCAACAAAATTGTCAAAAAAAAGAAAAGGAATTCAATAAAATAACGCTTTCGTCTGAGGAAACTAACAAAAAAAACAGAAGAAAACTTTTCCTGACTGTGGACAATTTTCATGAAATTTGCCAGAGCCACGCCCCATCCCGGCCAGCGAACACGGCCTTAAACTTTAACAATAGAACTTGGCGCGTGTGTCGCCGTACAGAGAAAAACCTCAAAAGTATTTCAAACGGCGCACAGAAAGGGGCAACAGAACGTGGCCACAACTTCGAGCACACTATTTGTACTTAAAACAGATCTATATATTGTTGTTGTTGTTGTTGTTGTTGTTGTTGTTGGCTGTGTGTGCCTGCGTTTATACTGCTTACAGTTAGATAGATAAACATTTTAGCCAAAAGAGTTGCAGCAGGCGAATGGCTGAGGAACGAAGATTGGGCCTGGCTCTGGGGGCAGGAACTGGGTGGCAGCCACATTGTGTGTGTGACTCGCTGCGGATGCATATTATGCTAGGGAAAAGAAAGAAAATGGCGCCAGTGCAAGCAGCATATGCTGCAATATGCAGCAGCAGCAGCAGCAGCAGCAGCAGCAGGAGCAGGAGCGGAGTCAAAGGGGGCTCTCCAGTTGGATGCTCGCTGACAATGATGAGCAGATCTCATTATGTTGGGCATTAGCTTAAGTTGAACCCTTTTCGCAGGCGCCACTGTGCGCAACGCACAACTAACTATTATCACAAGATAAATGCCAGTTGCTCGCATAACTAAGACTTAGCCAGAGACAACGAGGATGCTGCAGCTGCTGCGGAACATAACTGCTAAGCCGACAGACAGCCAGACAGCCAGCCAGGCAGCCAGGCAGCCAGGATAAGGCCATGTTTGAACAGAAAGGAGGAAAAACTGGCAGCAGCCAGGCTGGCTTAAGGGGCAGCAGCAATGCAACCTGCATTGATAGTGGCATCTGCTGCACGTTGAAGCCTTTTCGCCAAGCCGAGCGAGGCGATGCCATAACGCCGCCTTGGCATTTTAATAGAGCAAATTTCAGTGCAAAAATGCGTGCAGAGACGTTGCTAGCCCATCGAGCTTCCCTCAGCCTCAGCTGGTAATAAAACTTCCAAATGAAGTTTGGCAAACTTTTTAAATGCCTTGCCAAGGCGTGGCATATGCCGGAGCTGCGCAGCAGTCAGAATTAAGTTTTGGCCAAAAGAAACATTGTAGAGAAAACAAAATATACGAGACACAACATCAACTGCAACAGTTTTAATATAAACCGAGACGGCTTAAGCCAGAAATTCCTATGCCAAAGTGGAAGCAGCAGCTAAATTATTTATTTAACTTATTAACAAAAACTCGATTCAGGCAGTTGGTAAACCGAGCCACAGACCGAACTTCAGCTGTAACGAAACAGAATTCACTATGAAATTTTAAACTTCTCTCTTTGGCGATTTTTAATGGCGTTTGCTAAGTATTTTGATGGGGCGGCATGGGCGGGGCCCTACGCACTTGTTATGCGGCAAACGAGAAAGCCAGAGGAGGCATCCAAATGATGATGATTACGCCTACAACGTGAAGCACGCCCACGCCCATGCCCACACGACGACCAGGCGCAGCATCTTCAGTTTCATCCGAATGCTAAATGGCCCCAAAGGACCTTGCGCGCAGTATAAGGACGCAGCTCGGCCAGCTTTTTGCAAATTTACGATTATGATTATTACAAGTCAACGTTTTTTTTTCTCACTCCAGCTTCAGCTTCGCCATTCACTTGCCGAGGGTTGGCCAAGGGAGCGTGTGTGGGTGGCTGGCTTGCCTCTGTGTAGGTGTGTATTCACAGTTTGGCATTTGGACAGCTGCTGCGGGAAAGAAGTGCAAAGAATGCGTCAAAGTATTTTAGCACTTTGGCAGTGAGTGAAGGACGGTAAGGTGGGGTGGGGAGGCTAACAAAATGTACAACAAAACTTGGGCAAAAGTTATTACAACTCTAGGCAGCGCAGGAGGCGGGGCATGCTATGTCTTACCACATCTTGGTGGTAAGAGACATTGACCTCCAGCAGAAGGAGCAGCAGCAGCAGCAGCAGCATCAGCAGCAGGAGCTGTAGCCCTTGGAAATCCGCAAATTCCATGGGGCATAATAAACGTAAGATAAAAGTCAAAAAGGGACAAAAATTATATAATAAACTGTACGCCAAGTGAAATTATTGTATTTTGTTGTGGAACATTCAGACAGGGGAGAGCAGAAGGCAGAAGGCAGAGGGAGCGAGCGAGACAGCGAGAGGGAGAGAGAGTTGGAGTTGAAGGTGTTCTTCAATTTGATGTAACTACAATAAAAATGTTGACGAGCTGCAGTTGCTGTGTCGACAGCTTATGAATTTAATACCCTTCACGGAGGATAATAAAATTGAAGCTTTAAATATGGCAAATAAAACGATATAAGTCCAGGCAAAGCCACAGATTTCCCTTGCTCAAAATTCTTGAAGCTCTAGCTCTGGCAGCTCTCCCGTTGCAGCTCATACATCAAACGAACAGCTCCGACTGGCGGGCTGTGTAGGGTATTCAATAACTGTCATGCCTTAGTTAAATGTTTAACCAAAAACTTTGTTATGCGAGACATTTTACATTTTGATATCGCTCACAAAACAAAAAAAAAGTTTGAGCTGCTGCTCGTTTAGGCTTGGGCCATTGGCTGGGCTGGGCTGTGGACACACCTACACACACTCGCACACTCGCACACACATAAATAAAAGGTATAACAATAACTCAGCAATGCTGCAGAGCAGCGCGTTGCTGTGGCTTATCAAGTTGGGCGCATCGAATGCTGTACAACAACAAAATGTGTGTATACAATGAAAAAGAAGAAGAGGAAGAACAAGAAGAACAAAATACCAAAACAGAAAAATACCAAATCATAAAGGCATGACGATGAGCAATTTACAAAAGCCAAATACTGCCGCAGAGTGAGATTCAAATCAAGAACGTGCGCCCGTTGAGAACCTTCAACTCAACTCGGTTTAGGTAACTACATCTTATATATATATATAGTCAGTTATAGTCAGTATATATATATATATATATATATATTTGAGGTGCGTTTGTAAAAACAACAACTTAATGATTAATGATGCGCCTGCTTTTGTCTGCTTCTGCTTCTGCCGCATTTCACTTTTTCATCTCACTTCAATTGAGAATTAGGAATTGAGAATTTGAGAAATTGAGAATTGAATTTGTTTGGGGTTTCTCCCATTCCAACCGCCACTCTCAACTTGAGCTCTGATTGCTTGTGCACTTGTGTATAGCTTCCAATTTTCCAGCCGCTTTCTAAGCGTAATCACTTTGTCATTGCCATCATTTTCCAGCATCAATTGTTGCAGCAGCGCAGCATAAATTCACTTTTCACTCAAGCACACAGCCACAACTGTCTAATGGAATTGAGAGATACAGACAGGCAGCTGGTTGGGACAGACACCAAGCTGTCTGCAGTTGCCCTTTTGGGCGAAGCGCATCGCCCTGTCAAACAATTGTCCAAGCTCAAGTCCAAGTCCAAGTCCAAGTGCACATATGGACAACGAGTCGATAGGTCTCGTCTCGTCTTGCCTCTCTTGCTAGTTTTGAAGTGGACTTCCCTGGAATTGGCTTTGAAATGCCACACAGTCAAAGCTTCGCCAGCCCAGTCTTTCAGCCTTTCAGCCTTTCATCTGCCGCCAACCAGATGCAGGCACAGCATCTGCCAAACTGAAACATAGAACAAAAGATCAAAGCTGAGAGCTCTCTCTTTGCCCCTCTCTCCCTCTCTCTCTCTCTCTAACAAGCCCCAAGTAGTGCTGTGCATAATCGCAAATGTTACGCTAAATGCATTGCATCGATCCGTGATCCATCTCCGTGCCCTAATGGGAGCGTGCAACGAATTGTGGTAAGCAAATGTCTAGCTGCAACTTAGCGCCTAGTTATGAAGCCGGCCTGCCTGCCTCTGACAGCGAATTGATTGAGATACAAAAATATCGACCTCTCCCTCTCTCTCTCTCTCTCTCTCTCTCTCTCTCTCTTGCTGTACTCTTTCTTTGGCATCCTGTGGAGAGTTTGATGGAAACTCTTTAAAAAGAAATTAAGCCAGATATATAAATGAAGGCGAGGGTTACACGGGGCGTGGCATTATAAGGGTTAATAATGTTGAGTCTTAAGCTCTTGGAGGTTGTTAATTGACTTGGGGTAAGACCTCTTTGGATTGCATAGTAAGGATGCAATATATATTTAATATACTTAATATACTTAAGATCCTCTTGCATAAAAGCTTCTTTTATCTATTTCGAAAGTAGGAAATCTGAATAGACTTAGCTTCGGCTTCTGCTTATCTCTACTTGATCTCTATCTTAACTGTAGCTATATACAAGGAAAGTAGCTTCGTCAAGCAAGTTTTAGCCACGTTATCAGCATAATAATATGCTCGATATGCTCTTTCCGCTATTTATAGAACCTCTTCGCATAACTAGCTGCACTTTTAATAGCTGCTCTTGCAGCAAGTCTATAAAACTTACCTAGTTTGTTGCTCTCGTTGCTGTTGCTGTTGGCTGTCAGGCGTTGCCAATTGGACTGTTTGGCCGTGTGTTTTGTTTCTGTTGCCAATTGGAATGTTCACCTGTCGACGCGTTGATTCGTCCTTTCTTTCTTTCGCACTTGTTGTAAACGTAATCCCAAGACTTGGTTTAGTGTTTGCAAGGATAACGGTAATTAAACCGCAGCCTGGCCCGTACAAGGGGTCGCCATTGCATGCCTAGCACAAAATCGTCTTGTTGTTGTTGTCGTTGTTTGCAGATGTTGTTGTTGTTGGTTGTCGTTAGGTTATTGGCCGCGCCGCTTAGGTTGACACTTTTCAAACTTTTTCTGTTGGTTAGTTAAACAACTTTTTTGCCAGCACTTGGCAAAGACACACACACACTCATACACCTGTACACCTGTATACACACACACATGCACATATATATAGATGCACTTCCAGTATGCGCTAATTTTTTGCTGCTTTGCTTGCTTTACACTTTTTGCTTGGTCCGCGTTGTAAATCTTTGCGCGTTGTTGTTGTTGTTGTTGTTGTTTTAAAGAAATTCTTTTGCTCAATGGCAAAATGTTTGGACGACGTCTTCGTCGGCTGTTTTTTTTTTTTTGTATTTTTTTTTTGCCGGATCTGACTCTGTGAGTCGCTCCTCACCTGGCGCTCTGGCTGTGGCTGTGGCTTTGGCTTTGGCTCTTCCGCAGAAACAAGCTTCCAAGCAGGTTGCAATGTTGCAAGCAGGATAGAAGGGGCGCGCCTGCTGTGGGGTTTGGGGGCAGAGAGAGGGCGAGAGAGGCGGGGCGGGGCAGCTGCGTCGGCGACGGCGACGGCGGTTACAGCTACAATCTGCAATCTGTTTGTGGCATTAAATCAGTGAACCAAGACGCGCAGCCAGATTTGTTTATGCGGCCTTTCAACGTTTGCCAGCCAACTTGCAACTTGGCTCGTTGCAAGCGATGCAAATTTGTATAACAAATCAGCACTTACAGCTCAATTAACGCGAATTTCGGCACACAGACACACGCACTGGCACTGAGATCGTAGTGGATCACAAATTATTTGATAGCAATTACAGGGTATACACACGCACACACGAACCGAAGCACTTGAATGGCTTTAAATATAAAGCTAATCGCTGTTGTTATTTATTTATTTATGTTGCTGTTGTTATTGTTGTTGCTGAGTGTACGCGCGCCGCTGTTGTGGGTCGCTACGTTCCGAACCGGTTATAAAATTGACTTTAATTCGTATTATATTGTCCGGCTTTCAGTACCGCACGCCTCGACGATTCAGAGTGAACAGAACAAGTTGCGAGTTCGAGCCGCGACTGCGGCGTCGACGCATCGCTCGGCCGGCCACTCAATGCAGATAGCTTTGCTCTATCTAGCTGTAGCGCTCTACGCTCCAGCCAACATCCAACTCGAACATGTTGCGACCACAAGCGGAACATTTGGGCATTGAAACACTCAAGCAGTGGTTCGCTTGCTTTGAGCACTTCTTTGAGTTGGTCTGCTTAAGTGAGTCCAATTGGACTAGCAAGCGGCAACTCGGTCAGGTGTTAGAGCCGTGACCGCTGATGCTCCGCTGCTGCTGTCGCTGCTGTTGCTGCTGCAGTTGCTGCCGCGTCTAATTGTGAATGATTTATGTGGGTCGAAATTCTTTTGGCCTCAAGAAGAAAGTGAGCTGCAACGAACTTTGCGATGCTGCGGCTTACAAATTGAAATAAATCTGGAAAGATGCAGACGAAAAAATGCAACTAACGAATCCTTGTAGGTCATTGGCTTGGTCAAGAACAAAGGACAGACACCACGCGCAATGACTCAGCTGACGGCGGTGCGAATGTGCAAGTGTGTCTGGCGCGTCGCGTAGGCGTCCACTGGGAGCTGCCACACAGGGGCAGCCGGCTAGCTGGAGTGCACCTGTTTTCTGCTATGCAAAGTTTGCCGACTCTTTCAGCTGGCCCGCCATAGAATATTCAATGCGACGAGCTCGTTTCGTTTCATCTGCTCTAATGTGCAAAGTTGATAGTTGGCGGTGCTTAAACCACAGGTGAGCATATTGCCCAAAGGTGGGGCATTAAGGTGCATTAAGTTGCAGGCTTATAAATGCATAAATGACTCCATTAAAAACCCCTCAGCAGCCAAATTAAATGCACAAAGTTGAACTAATTCCCATTTACGAGCTTTGTAGTTGAGGCAGACCTCGTTTTCCATATCTCTCAGATATAAACATATTTAACTCAGTGCTCAGGCAGGCAATGGAATCTTTTTAGCACTAACTCAGATACTTTCCATGGCATGGCAACTGCAGCGAAGTTGGACAAACCGGCTGACACTCAGCGCTAGACAAGTTCAATGCCATGGATGGGCATCAAAGCAATTGCAGGCAGCTCCCAGCTTCTCCTGCCACTGCTCCTGCTCCCAGTTGCTTCTGACAGCCACGAGACGTGGACGTCGACGTCGACGTCGACGTTGTCGTTGTCGAATGCCCGCCAGAGCCTTCGAATGATTTATGAGAAATGGCAAAGCGCGCCGCAGTCCCTGCTGCAGCGCCAACTCACAACTCGAGAAGGTGGAGCACCCAAAGACAAACAATTGACATTTGATGGATGCGTAACTCGTGCATTCAAATGCATGAGACGCACATCAATTGGACAGGCAACTGGACGCCACTGGTGGCGTGGTGGCACGGTGGCAGCTTGTCGCAGGCGTCGGCTAATTGTTATTGATAATCGCCTCATCACTTTTATGTCTCTGTTCGACTCTGTTGTAATTGCCACATTTAATTAGTCAATGGAGCTCCGCTCCTCTGCCTTTAACTTGAATTATGTTTTGGCATACTCATTGTCTGGCTGGCTGGCTGTCTGTCTGTCTGTCTGTCTGCCTGCCTGTCGGTCGGCTGCCTTGTGGCCGGCCAAATCACGGCTCCATCCTGCGCCTAACTGCAAAACAAACTTCTCTATTATTGATTTATACCTTTCAACGATTCTCTGTATTTATCATGAGTGCAAGCCACATTTATCATTAATAATGCCTCCGCAGCAGCCGCAGCAGCAGCAGCAGCAGCCACAACCACAGCAGCAGCAGCAGAAGCAGCCGCAGTAGTAGCCCAAACGAGCAGCAGCGGCTGCCCCAAGCATCCGCATCTAGGCAGCTGCTTGATTCTAAGCGTGCACAGTGGGGCGAGGCATAGTTTTATCAGTTGAATAATAAAATGAATATAACAATTTAAGAGATTTATGCATGAATTTTATTAAATATTGCAAATCTTGTATTTATATACAAATAAATATTTTATTTAATAAAAATTATTATAATATTTTTTTTATAAAATAAACTTTGTTCTTGAGAATGTCAGTTGATAAGTCAATTCTCAATCAAAATGCTAGTTTTACTGATAATTAATCATAAGTACAGTTTGTATAGTATAGCTAACATAGTATATAAATATTATAAATATAATAAAATAGTAAACAAATCTTATGTAATGTCTTCTACTATTTATTTCCCAAAAGCTGCTTAAACATTAAGTCACAAAATGCAAGTGACCTTCAATATCTAATAACAGCTGAATTTTATGCTTATTTAAATAAATTTGTGGCCACTGTGCGTCAGCGTCTTACCAGCATTGAAGCACCCCCGTTGAGCTGCTGCTGCTGCTGCTGCTCAAGAGCAGTGGGTCTGGGCTCTTGTGGCTGGCTCTCTGTCAGTCTGTCTGTCTGGCTGGTTGGCTGGCTGGCTAGAGAGTTAGAGCTGCGATCATTTTCCGTACATCATTTCTATGGTGTATTTATTGCCTGGTCGCAATGATCATCGCGCTCTGTGCCTCCATTTCCGCTGTACACTGTTCGCCAAAAGTTCAGGCCCTGGCAGCGGCGACGGCGGCGGCGGCGAAAACCATTTTGGGAAGGTGATCTGTGGGATTGTGCTAATGTCAAATCAAGCTGTGCCCCCTTGTTATTTAGCCAGCCAGAGCAGACCGAGCAGACAGAGCAGCCAAAAGGAAGAAGCTGTTGCTGCTGCTGCTGCTGCCCAACAGCCGCCAGAGACTAAACTCCATGTTGATTTTATTGTAAATTGCATTAAAAGATTGCATATAAAGAATTTTATTTATCACCTCGGTTGTTAGGGAAAACGCTGTTGGAGACAAAAGTGCCTTGGCTTATCCTTGTTGTTGTTGCTGCCGCTGCTGTTGTTGCTGGGGCGGCATTGTTGCATTTGCTGCTGTTTTGTTATTGTTTGTCTTGGCTTAAGATCTCAAGGTCTTTCTGTGGCAATTGGTTTTCGTTTGCTTTTAGCCCCCATCGAAGGTGTCGCTAGATATAGCCAGGTCTTTTTCATATATTGTTTAGCATGGATTGCGCTTTTTGCCCGCTGCTCCGATGCAGCTAGCCAGCTTGCTAGTCGTTTTGCTGATCTTTGCCAAATTTGTAAATGTTCTTTAATGGAATTTCGAACACTTGCTCGCTCGCTCGCTGCCAGCCTGCCTGCCTGCACAAGGGTTTTTTGTTGGTTCTCTGTTTGTGATTTAAGTAGAACGCCTTGAGTTGGCCTATGAGTCTGAACTATGAACATCGATGCAAGGGGGCTTGTCAGTGTGACAATCTTAAGGAATTGCTGGCAACCGCTCAGCCATGAACAGCACAAAAAAAAACGAGTATAAAAAAATAAAAAACAGCCCAGAGAACATTTTAGTTTTCTAGTCAAGCATGTAGCAGGGGAGTCAAGTGCGGGGTATATGCATGTGTGTGTGTGTGTGTGTGTGTGTGTGTAATCGGAGCAATCGCATCAGCGCAACCTTAACAGCAAAACAGGCCTCGGATCGATTTCACAGAAGCTTGTTAAACGTAGATGGCTCTGCCAGCTGATTTGCAGATAGTATTCAAGCCAAGCCAAGGCAAGTCGACAATTTGGCCAGGATGCAAAACTTAAGCAAGCGAAAGCCCGAAATCTAATTGCTAAAGGATTTTTAACTATGGGAACTTTGCCAATACGCAAACTGCTCAGAGCTGCTAAGTGGCTGCCAAGACTTCTTCATTGAGGGAAAAAGCAAAGCTGCAAAATCTACTTCACATTCCCATGCTGAAAATGCAAGGCATTTGTTTGATAAATGCGCCATTCAGCGATGCTTCGTCATATTCAAAGCTTCACACACACTCGCACACACCAAATCTGGAACAGCTCAGCGAATGTGCTTTGACAACTGGCGAGGCTCGTAGGAAGCTTGCCTTAAGTAGTTGCTCGAGCCAAAATGTAAGGCTCCAAATGCCTTTTGAGAAAGCGAATTTGCAGACAAATAAATCAAGCCACCTATTTTCAAAGAGTGTCCATTGTGTCCTGACCAGGGCCATTGGGGTGCCGACGACTGTTGATACCTAAAAATGGCAAAAGCCGGTTCAGATTGAGAGGATCGTCCGTCGCCGTGTTGTAGT